GAAACTTCGAAATCTTATATATATATATTTAGGTTAATATTAACCTAAATATATATATACCTAAATATTTACCTAAATATAATATGTTTCTGCCATTGTTTTTTGGGTTACTGCCACTCTTCGACATATAAACACTGAGTATTAGAAATATAGAGTTCTTCCAAGTGCAATATCTGTTTAAAGGAGGAGGTTCAAAATTTTAATATATGGAGATAGTGTTATATGTAAATTTAAACATATTCTATAATAGCGAAGCGGCGGTAGCCTAGTGGTTATGGCGTTGAACTTGCGATCAAGAGACGACCTCTTGATTGCAAGTTCAACGCCATAACCACTAACCACACTGTGATAGGCGGGCCTCCGCCGCCCGGTTCGCCGGCGGCGGATCGGGTCCGAGTGGAGGTCGTCCTCCCGGGCCCTCTCCGCCGCCTCCTTCCGCGAGATTACTACCTCGCAGAAGGTTGCGACCGCGGTAAAAACAACTGTCGCTACCGGCCATGGAGCGTACTACGGCCGGTAGCGAGAGATCCACTCCGATGACTGCAGTGAGGGCCCGGCGCTGCGCCGCCCATGCGGGGCAGACCGCCAGCGTGTGCTGGGCCGAGTCCTCACTGCAGTCGCAGTGGTGGCAGGTGGGACTCAGTTCCCTCATAGCGACCGAGTGCAGGTACTTCCCGAAGCAACCGTGCCCGGAAAGCACCTGCGTCAGCCGGAAGGAAAGGGTCCCGTGCTGCCGCCCTGCCCACTCGGCGATGACCGGCTGGAGAGCCTCCACGGCGGCGAAGCCAGCGCGTGGAGTCTCCAGCCGGAACGACCAACGAGCCATCGTGGCTCGGCGAGCGGCTTCGCGCCACTCGCGCACATCCTCGGGCGGAGAGCGGATTTCGCCCTCCGCCCGCGGAGTCAGCCACTCGCCGATAAACTTCGGCGAGCACTTCCGCCTCCAAATCCCACGGGGGAGTTCCGGCCAACTTACGGAGTTATGGCTCTGACCGCCATTACCCTCTGAGGGCGCCAGAGGCGTACCCTATTCTGGGCGGTCAGAGCCGCCGCCCTACCACACTATACACACACTAGACCAGCACACTACCTACGTGAACCCACTCCTAACACAAGCAATTTAGCTTAGCGGGAGGGGTTAACAGGAATACTAGTAATTTCGGTTGCTAGTAAACCTTCAAAAAAAAACTATTAGCCTAACTTTAATAATATTTCCCAGAGATCGCATCAGAGTTCGAGTACCTTCCGTTTAGTAAATTGAAGTATTTTTGACCGAGTTATAGATATAAATGGAAATAAAATCCTGTGAATAAAAATAGTCATGCCATTGGGTTTTTTATTCGTTGCGAATAAATACATCCAATGAAGCTACCAAATTGACGGTGTATAACTCTCTACAGCCCGGAGCTCGTCAGTAAACTAGCGCCGGCTATTTCGCGAATTTCTCTTTTGGTGCATCGTAGAGCGGAAATGGTGTTCGTGAAAACCTGAAATTGCTATAGTTCAAAATGGATATCCAACTGGGCAAAGTTGAAATTACTTACATGACTGAAGTTCTAAGTTTCGTTCGCGGCTGTCATTTAAAAACGTCAAATACACAAGTAGACTTTCTAACCCGACAAACATTGTTTTAGAATAAAAATAAACAAAATGGCTAAAAATATACATATATACATACAGAACATCAAAATTAATAAGATATACCACAGGAGTAGAACAAACAGCAGAATATCTTTTAGAATCACTAGTACCTGACGATCGGCCGGAAAACGACACTGATCATCACCGACAGATCAGGCAGTGGGCCAACGAACCACCACTGTTTCCAAAGTCTGATTCACCATCTTCAGACGAATTTCTCGGTATCATTAGATATCTAACAAAATGACAAAAAAAGCTTGTAAACTTTCGGGTAACACGACTTTTGTTATTATTTTTATTATTATTTGCATTAGTATTTAAGGAATCGGATATTACATTTGATAATAGTTTATTATTTGATAGGTTTTAGATAATTATGGAAGATGTTTCATGTTTCGTTTTTTTTAAAGTCTTTGCAATTCCTTCATCTACGAGAGACATTACTATTTTTTGCTAATGTTCTGTTGTTCGGCAGGATCTCCTTTTAGTACACTATTTATTTTTGGGTGGAAGTAGGTCCAACATTTAGAAAATAACGAAAACTAAATATTAATAAAAACTTAATACTTTCAAAAAAACTCAATGATAACATACACTCGTTTATATGACACATATTTGCTGACAAAAAAATATGATTTTACTAATAAACATACAATCGATTTGAGAAGTTATACCAAAAAACCTCAAAGAAAATCTATTATATATTCTGGTCTTGTCTTTTAGTAGCCGAGATATAGCCTCTACATTTCAAAGTCAATAAAACTCTTGAGGGTTCTTCATCGTTATAGTTAAAGGCCTATTTTTGGTACGGACGTTACTTTTCTTCAAAGATGATTAGGTTATCATTAATGCGTAATAATTATATGTATATACATCCTTTATTTTACTTTACTTATATTATTACGTTCAATAGTCTGTAAATCTTAACTAATATCCATCCATACATCCATACTTATAATTTATATGTGAAAGTGAGTTTGTTTGTTACGCTTTCACACCTAAACAACTAAACCGATTATAAAAATTCTTTCACCAGTGGAGCCTAATGTACCTAACATTATCAGCGAGTAACATAGGCTACTTTTTACCGCAATAACCAACATACACGCGAGGGAAGCCACCAGAAGCTTATCAGTTGAAGAGCTGGTTGATAGGTGTTTTTGGTAATGTTAAAGCAAACAAAGTCAAATAGGTACACTAGGCATGCTTTTAAAGTTCTGTCGTTTCCATATTTCCTGTCAATTTTGAATTTGGAACTGTTCTTTATTCGAATGTGTTTAAATTTTGAATCTCAAAACAGTTGAAAGTATTAGGATTAATGCTATTGTTTAGTCACAGCGTCGATTGGAATCTGTTAGGTTACGTACGAAAATGAATCTTTCTAAGGAACATGTTCGTGCAATAATTTTCTACAACTTTAGAAGAGGCCTGAAGTGTTTTGAAGAGCTAATATCTGTGTTCAGTGATGAAGCCCTATGTCTGCGGACTACCACGACAACGCAAGCTCACACAGCGCTCGGCAACGATTGAGTATTTGAAGCAGAAAAAGGAGAAATTATTGACTATCCTACATACAGTCCTGACCTAAGCCTTACGATTTCTTTACATTTCCTAAAATTAAGAAAAGTCTTCGTGGCCAAAGGTTATAGTCCGGTGAAGAAGCAATCGACGCTTTCAAGTCAGCCATTTTGAACACCCCACTTTAGAGTAGAATAAATTTTATAATAACTGGTTTGAGCGAATGGCAAAGTGTATTAAGCTACCCGAGACGGCGTGCGGTTTTTGGTCGGTTGGAGTCTGACATAACCACCGGTGGGTGGTATTCGAGGGGATTTCCGCACAGAAAAAGAAGGTAAAGGTCAATAGAATATCAGTTTAATCGAGTCTTTTAAGGGTACGTTTGAAGTGTCTGTTTTTGGCATCACTGTTTGTGGCATCGTAGCTCTTAAACGAATGTATCGATTATGATGCGGTTTTTTTTTGTCTGGAAGCTGACGTGATCGAGATGGTTCTTAGTTGATGAAAGGATTTCACTAACTTATACAAGACCGATTGATTTGAAATTTCGTGTACTGATACTTTAGAGGTATTTCCATGATATGGAATATATTCTTGATCTGATGCTGCAACCACACTATTGATTGATAGTACCAGTTAGATCAGTTAAAAAAAATAGATTTTTAGTTGTTCCTTACATTTTTCCAATTTTTTTTTCAAATAAAAATGTCAAACTGACCAAGAGTCGAGACTAACGAGCAGCTGTTGATTTTAATATACATATACTATTTACACGTAATGTAACCTGAAATCGTTCCCAAAATTTTAAGGGTAAATAAAGCGTTTTTAAATACCATTTCACTAATAACCTGTATCGGTTGTGAAGTTCAGATGAAATCAACCTGGCTTTAAAATATAAATTAAATACATATTTCCATACATATGTATAAACTTAAATTAATAACGTTCGTTTGCCTTATTTTCGTAGAAAACATTACGCAACATTTAAGTAAAAAAATACATAGTGTTCATAATAACATTTAAACTATTTGTTTTGTCGTTTAGCAGTATAACTTGTACTGACTTTCATAGTTTCTCTTTTATAGATAGTTTTCTTAGATACCATGGCAAGTCTACATACAAATACATATGTAGCTATATGCGGCGCGTTCAAAGTTTTTAGATTTTTTTACTTCTTCCATAAATTAATTTTAGTGTTCAATTCATATCTTTTTCAAGAATTTACTTAATTTTATTTGTTACAAGAAAACTTTATTCAAATTGTCAGTAGGTACAAAACTTTTTTATATTATTTTATATTATTACATTATCCCTTAATCAAACAATGGTAGGATATGTGCCACATTCAGATGGCAAACTATTTATGGATAAAAACAATTAAATCTGAACGCATCCATTTTTTTTCTTTTTTTTTTTAACTCTGCGGATGTCACTCGATGTTATGTTGGCACTACTGCTATGAAAAAATATGACGTTTAATTGTCAGACGAGGTCAAAATTAAAAAAGTGCGCGAAAATATCGCCCGAGAGCTATTTTTGGCAAAATTTATTGAAATATTTGATTTGTGGCTTGAAAAATTTCGGTAAGTACATATTGATGCTTTATTTATATACTTTATGATGTTGTTAAGTGTACGGGCTATAGAAATGGTAACTCACAATATTTTATGTATTGAAAAAAAAACGTTGAAAGTATGTGGCTAATATATGACCGTTGTCTGTTTAGATTTTTTGTTGGTATATAATGTGTCCAAAATACGACCGTTGTCCATTACTTTCCCTTATATTATTTTCATTAGTTGCAAATTTTAAATGTTTTGATTTGTAATTCAGTGTTTACAATGTTCTTACAGAGAAAGATGTCATCAAATAGACCATTATCTAACCATGCGCTACAAAACATATTAGAAAATTGGTCGGATATTGATTCGGAAGACGATGAAGAAATTTTTGTACCTTCTCCGCGAAATACAATTTTAGGACTCCCCAATGATGACATCATCGATTGCAGGATGGCAGAACTCTTTAAGGATAATCTACTAAATGATATGGATAATGTTTTAGACGGGATGACTGTGCCTGTGGGCGAAACACTTGCAGATACTACCTCCGTGAATCTACCTGAAACATGTAACACAGGAAGTTTGTCAGGTGCAACTGCCACTGCGTCTTCTTCGTTGAATTTATCGATCACGAGAGAAGAACGAACTTATAGAGACTGGAAAATTAAAAACAAAATTCATCAGATACCTCAATTTATATCAAAATTTAGGCCAAAAATGTTATATTCCCATAAGAGCCAGCCCCTTGATTACTTTAGTAATCTTTTTCCTGACGAAATAATAAATATGATTGTAACTGAAACGAATCGTTATGCTTCTCAGAATGATTGCAGAAACTTTCAACCTACTACTTCAGCAGAAATAAAGGCGTTTTTGGGTGTGATGATTATGATGGGATTACATCCCTTGCCAGATTTTGAGCTATATTGGTCATCGGATCCTTTTTATAATAACCCTGATATTTCATCAACATTCACCTTGAACAGATTCAAGAAAATACTACAAAACTTACATTTAAACGATAATAGAACTGAAGAACCGCGAGATTCCGTAAATTTTGATAGGTTACATAAACTGAGACCACTAATTGATCAGTTGAATGCAATATTCTTACAGCAGGCAGAAGAATCTGGCATTTATTCAGTGGACGAGTGTATGGTAAAATTTAAAGGTCGGTCTTCTATGAAACAGTACATGCCTATGAAGCCAATCAAGCGTGGCTATATGGTATGGGCTCGTTGCGATGCACGTACAGGTTACTTATATTGCTTCGAAATTTATACAGGTAAAACACACACCTTGGATGAAGCTGGGTTAGGTTTTACCGTAGTGACTAATCTGTGTAAGAATGTACCTCGTGATTCACTAGTTACATTTGATAATTTCTTCACAAGTTGCAAACTGGTCGATGTTTTGTATCAGAATGGTATTTTTTCAACCGGAACTGTAAGAAAGACTAGAAGGGGGTTACCCGAATTTATGAAGGAAAAGCCACACAGCAAAAAAGAAAAACTAGCAAAAAATGAATTTTGTGCAATGACAAGTGAGCCTATAGTCGCTGTAAAATGGTTAGACACAAAAGAAGTGACTGTTCTAACATCGGCGCATAAGCAATCAGAGGTTGCCATTATAAAGAGGACCCAAAAAGATGGTTCAAAGAAAGAAGTTTTCTGTCTAAAAGCGATAGCAGATTACACTTTACACATGGGAGGGGTGGATCATTTCGACCACTTTCGGTCATCATATCCAACAGGAAGAAAGTCGAGGAAATTTTGGATGCGTTTGTTCTTTTTTATGCTTGATGCTGCAGTCATAAATGCCTACATTCTGTTCCTATCAAAACATGCCCAACGAGATTCTGCCCATCGTGAATTTAGGCTGCGACTTGCTAGAGAACTCATTGGCAGTTTTACGTGTAAGAAACAGAGGCCAATTATTTTTAAAAATAAGAAAGGCGGCAACTTTGGCGTCCCTGATGAAATTAGGCTTCAAAGTGTAGGTATACATTTCCCAGAAGCGCAGCAAACCTATAAACGGTGCAAGTTCTGCTCGACGAGGAAAGAGACGAAGAGGTCTAATATTAAATGTTCATTTTGTGGTGTATCCCTTTGTGTGAAGGGTTGTTTTAAGAAATTTCATTTAGCTGAAAATGAATAATAATACAAAAAATTGTATGTCCATTAAAATTGTTTAAGTATTTTAGTATTTCTATTCAGACAATGGTCATATATTAGCCACCTAAAAAATTAGTACATAGGTCCTTTTTTTTATATATATTTATATGTAGGTATGTTTTTAAGTGTATATTCAACCAGAAAATTGCGAAAACCCCATCATTCCTATCTTAATGGCTTGGATCCGATTAAGGGTTATAGAGGATTGGCTAGAGAGGCATCACGGTATGAGAGGGTCATATCGGCTGACGCGGGTGATCACTGGGAAAAGATGCTTCAGGGATCACCTGTGTCTGATCCGCAACAAGCCAACGCCTGAGTGCCACCACTGCGATGACCAGACCACACCCTGGCAGAATGCCTGCGTATGGAGCCTTCTGTGAGCAAGTTATGCTTGCAAAGGAGATGGCGGAGCGGGACCGAGCGAGGTTTAGAACTCTCCCGGCCCGCCAGGCCCGGGCACGAGCCAGGTAGTAGGTAGGTGACCCAAAGGGACAATGGTGGTTTCCACACAGGATGGGGTCATCTATCCGCCGGAGGTACGTCGGTGTATCAGGGATTTCCTTTCTGGGGTACACTTGGTTCATTGGTTACTGGCTTTTAGTCGGTTCGAGTCCGATATGGCCACACAGAAAAAAAATAGGTACAAAACTTGTTGAAAGACTTAAAAAAATACTATTCCCTAGACTTGACTAGGACAATCAAGCATACAAATACTTGAAATAAGAAAGACTCGAAACCACGACTTTTAATGTCACACCCTCTAGCTCGGCAAAAAAAATGTATTTGCAGTGGGTTCACGGGGTTGGGTTCAAAACCGCTACCACTTACTTGCAAGATCGCCCTTAGCCACTAAGGTACTGGCACCGATTATTTTGCTCTAGTACCTTAATTTAGCGGTGCAATGGGTCCACATTAGATTGGGATTTCGAGATTTATTAATTTATTCTGTCTTTAGATGTGATCACGGTGATCTAGTGTTCCAGAGCACATAATAAACTTAAAAGTATCACCTAAATTCGGTGATACTTTTAAGTGCGCCTTAATCATCATGAATTCTAATAAAGTGTACTCATAATTCTTTAATTTTCTATCCGCAGGCTTGTGAAAATCAGTTAGGTATTAGTAAAAGCGTAACCAAAGAAACAACAGCACGTATTACGATGACGCTTATTTTACACTAGCTGACCCGCGCAACTTCGTCTGCGTCTCTCAATAGTAATAAATTTTCTCCGTTTTTGAAACATTCTTCATTGGTGCTCCGCTCCTATTAGTCTTAGCGTGATGATATATAGCCTATAGCCTTCCTCGATAAATGGGCTATCTAACACTGAAAGAATTTTTCAAATCGGACCAGTAGTTCCTGAGATTAGCGCGTTCAAACAAACAAACAAACAAACAAACTCTTCAGCTTTATAATATTAGTATAGATAATTGTTTAGATAGGTTTTTTGTAGATTTTTTCCTACTAAAAATATAGCATAGGTAAATTTATCTTCTTACATCAAGTAAAACTTTACCTTTTTCGAATTTTGTCTGAGCTACATTTTCTCAAGGAATACTTTCGTGTGCAATTTCAAACCCCTTTAGGGTGTAAAATAGCGTGAAAATGAAAATAATATTGTCCTTATTTTCCCTCCAGTATAGTGTGTCTCACTAAAGATTTGACTCCGAAGGCTTCTATATAAGTTAACATGAGAAGTCAGTTTTGGTAGCATAAAGCTGAACTCAAATACCTAACTCACTACGCAGTACTAAGTTTAACGAAGCAAACAATGTAACAAACTGTTAGTACTGAAAACTTTCTTCATTTCCCAACTGGAAAATATACAGTTGAAAAGCAAAATTCGTATCTTAGAAACAAAATGTACTATTGTCTGTAATGCCCCAAAGTCCACACTTTATTTATTTAGTAAGCTATGAACACAAGGATAATGGGTGGAGTGGTTGTGATCACGCTCGAATTAATTCAGACATTTATAATTAAGAACTTTAATGGTTTTATTTACAAATTTAAAAGTTATTCTAGTAGTGTTAGCTTAGTTACTCTTAATTTCGGGACGGTCATAGAGCTACCATATACTAGCTAACGCTTGCCACTTTGCCTGCGTCTCTTAAAAAAAAAAAAACTCATTTTTTCCCAACATTTTTCAACAATGCTGGTCTACTATTGGTCGTAGCGTGATGGTATATACCCTACAGCCTACCTTGACGAATGGGCTATCCAACACTAAAACATTTTCAACTAAACAAATAAACAAACTCTTCTGCTTTATAATGTAGTATAGATTACCCAAGTAGGACAAAGTTGAAGTCAGCAAAATGTGAGCGTTGAATACACCTGAGTCTTCCCTTTCGTTGAATAAATAAGTAAGTGTATGTTTTCGTGGTATAGTAGGCCAAAGCCTTCTTTCTAAGGAGAGGCTTATGTGAAGCAGTGGACTATTAAAATCTGTTAATAGTCCACTGCTTCACATAATAATCTGTCTGCATTCCTGGATTCCTACAATCTTAGCATGATATATTATGGTTGTAACAACCCACATTTTTAGGTGTGTATAATATAAGCAAACAGGTTTAATAAATTGCAAGTATGGCAAAAGAGCAATGTGTCCGTCCATGTAGGTTTGGATTGGCATTGGCAAACAACAGAGACCTGAGGTGAGGATGACAATTGGTCTAGATGATATCAATCGTCATTTCTCGTGAACGAGAAGTGACGACAGTTGGATCATCAAACCAAGAGTCAAACCTTGAACTATATTGCTGGTTTTGCCCGACCCAACATTGAATTCTTTAACTTTTCTCCGGCATTTTCCTAGGAAATAAAAAAGATCATCCTGTCTATCCATTCCAATGCTATGGGTTGTGACGGTATCAGCCGTCGGATGATTGTCACTATCCTGGATCAAGAACTTCCTGCAATAGCCCATTTCATTATCTTTTCATTCTGGCACTCCGTCAATTTTCCTTCAATCTGGCGTAAGTCGATAATCCCTTTTCCCAAAAAAAAATAACCCTCCTCTCCTTGAACACTATCGACCCATTTCCATACTCCCATTTATCTCAAAAGTGCTTGAGGCTTGTGTACATAAGCAGCTATCGCAGTTTATGTACAAGCAGATGCTTCTTAGCCCTTTACAATCTGGATTCAGACCTGGTCATTGTGCAATTACCACTCTCCTAAAAGTGACTGGCGATATTAGGGAGGATATGGAGGACACCAAAGTCACAGTGCTGGCTTTGATTGATTTCTCGAATGCCTTTAATACCGTCAGTCATGATGATGGAAAGCAGAACGCTTTCCATCCTTTCCTACCTTATGAACTCCTTGGAAGCCCGGGAATGGCTTTCCTCCTATCTTCAGGATCGACAACAGTGGGTTCATGTTGACGACTTGTCATCGAGTTGGTGTGATCTTTTTACTGGCGTCCCTCAAGGCTTTATATTATCTCCGTTATTATTTTCAATGTTTATAAATCTCATAACCCAACAACTTCAATGTGCGTATCACCTATATGTATGCTGACTTGCAATATTTACGTCCAATCGAGAGTTGAAAACATATCAATAAGTTAACAAAGATTTGGACTTCATAAGGTGCTGATCGACGACGTTTGGTTTGTCGGTTAACCCAACCAAATGTCAAGTGATCGTCATAGGAATCAAACAGATGTTAAGTAGGTTGGACATGACGGCCATCTCACCAGTTGTTTTTAATGACATAATCATACCTCTGAGTCCAGTGGTTAAGAACCTAGGGCTACAAATTGACTTGTGCTCTCCAGTCAAGTGTCGAGTTTGACTGGAGAGCACAAGTCACCCACGTCAGCCAGAAAGTCACTTGTATGTGTATATATATATATATATACTTGGGACCTCTAGGTATATATGTAGTAATGAATATAGTATTTTATTTATAGTATATAGTGTATATATTTAAGTTAGATTTATCTTAAATTAATAAATTTAATATAAAGTCAAATGAGCAGAGAATGCCCTGGGCATTAAGTCCGCCTGTGTAGAACTTGTGCATTAAGTTATGTAAATAAATAAAATAAATAAATAAATGATCTTGAATACAAACGCCTCAATCGCTCTCGCTTCGTTTGAAAACTTGCTATGTCGAGTGATTAGCTCAGTGAACCCTTGTCGAGAAATTCAAAACAAAAGGGCTTCGTAGTCACGACATTCTCAGACGTCTGCCAAAAGTATCTTGTCTGTAGGAAAATTTTAAATTATTATGAAATCTGGAAAATCATAACAAGAAATTTGTTTTTTTTTGTACCACTATCTAATAAATCACTTTAATGGTAATTAGGACTAAGCATTTCGGCTACTATGTCGAGCAGTGGACTATTACAGGCTGTGTGGCTACTTAAAGAATGAATTTATCTCGACAGCATTGAAGCGATCTCGAGGCATTGAATTACCACAGTCCGTTATATAAAAGTTACACGTGACTTGTTGAACAAACTGCAAAATATTTTTTCTTAGATCGGTAAAAATAGTGAATATATTCTCGTTAAAAGATTATATAGGAATGACAAGCTCAAAAAATACGGCAAAATAGGCTCATGAACAAAAGCCAAGCACCGTTATGTGAATTCTAAGACGGTACAACCAAAAGGGTGGGTGAATACTAATACATATAAAAGTTACATTCACAAACTATACCTCTAAGAATTGTATGTAAGTAAACTAGGTTAGGATATGTTTTTGACTTTTATTGGGTGTAATAAACATATCATATATCATATCATATGAAATAATTAATTTTTTACACTTATTACAAGCTCTAATTATCACAATTTACTTAATTTACTCTATTAATCACAAGCTTTAGGCACAAAAAATATAAAAAAAAACGATATTTTTCTCTCCTCAGTTCTCTATGACAATTTTGCTAGTTTTTTCACTGTAACTGGATATCTGGTGTAAAAGTATTACATAATAAAAGTATACGTGGTGAACCAGAGAGCC